TCCTCCAACAATTTTCTAAACTTTAGAGAGAATAAACGGCTCCATTGCCTATTTACAAAAATTAAAAAGGAAAAATTATAAACAACATAAAAAAAAAGGCTCCACCAAACAGGCTTTAAGGGGCTGTCTTGTTAAATTTATTTTTTTTTCTTTGAAAACAAAATAACTTTCTTTATCTTTAAGTAGATGATTGTTAATTTATTATCTATAATTCACTCACACATAGGTCCACATTATTGACTCTGGCCTGGCTAAGAACTATAGAAACAAGTAGGTATGTTTTGTAGAAAGCGGAGAAAGTGTGGGGCATAGAGTGTAGAGAGTAGAGAGTATGAGATGAAAAGTAAAGCAATGTTGTCCCGTCCCACCACTTCCTCATTCCCAACCACTAAGCCATCTTAACCGACCCTTGACAAAGCCTCACTGTCTTCATCACAAACCCTCAGCACCTACTGTGACAAACTCATCATCTCCATCACCAACCCTCAGCACCTACATGACAAATTCATTGGCCATTCCCACACCCTCGTCTCTCAATCATTTATTCCACCTTCTTTAAAATCTCCACAAAACATAGCTAATAACTTACCCTCTCTTCTTTTTGAACCCCCTTTAACTATTACCATTCCAACCTCCTTGGCCCTACCATGTTTACTGAAACCTCTATCCACTCCTCTATCAACTACTCAACAGAAGAGAATGTCCTCACCATCTCCCTCATGCTCGAGGACAAAGAGTGCCTTTACAGGCCACATCAGCTCAATGTGATTGTTAAGCTATTTAGGCCTTCAATGGAGTTTTTTTATGTAGTTCAGAAACTTAAGCAAGCATGGAGTTTGCAAATGACTTTGATATTATTGACCTTGATAAGGGCTTTCTCCTTATTAAGCTATCCTCAGAAGAAGACTTTTCTACCATCTTAAAGCAAGGACCATGATATATTGGTGACCACTTTCTCTCTATCTAACACTGGGTCCTAAACTTTAGACTTGAATTGGCAATGCCCTCAACAACCATTGTTTGGCTGCACTTACCCCAATTACTAATTGAATTATTCTCTTAAGATCCTTTAACAAATTGGGAACTGTCTTGTCTCATTCCTCAAGATTGATGCCACTACACTTATAGGTTATAGAGGGAGGTTTGCATGTCTTTGCCTTGAATTCAACCTTCAACAACCGCTACCTTCCTCATTGGTCATTGGTGGTTTTACCCAAAAAATTATTTACGAAGGAATATAGTCTCTCTATTTTTCTTGTGGTCATTTAAGGTATAAAAAACGCCAATGCCCAAGATTACTCATGGATAATCATGAAAAATTCATCCCTATTGTCTCAACCCACTCTTCATGTGGCCTATATGGTGAATGATTCCTTGTTACCAAGAAATGTTGTTGGCAATGATCGAAGAATATCTCATCACCAATGGCTAACCACACTAGATTAGGTGCTGCCAATAAAAGCACGGTTTGAGGTCAAATTCAAAATTCAAACCAGGTGAGGGCCAGTTTGACTTGAGTAAGTCAAACTCTTCCTCTTCACCCTCCTTCCCCCTAACCATTTCTAGTTTTCCATACCTCCAACCTCGTTTATGCCACTTGCACCTCTGCTCCATTTCACCTTGATCAATTTAGCTACCTTTGATGTTTCACAAATCCAAGCTTCAGACACATCCCTAGACCCCATACTGAGAATCCTTCTAATTCTCATCCCATTCTAGTCACCTACCAAAACAATGCTTAAACCCATGCTCCCTGCTCTAATACTTCTATTAACCCACATTATTCTAGTTAATCAACCATTCACTCTCACTCGAAACCCCCACTTCCGAACTATAGCAAACCAAACACTTCTACCATCAGTGAGGTTCCCAATCTATAGTCTCTTAAGAAAGGATCAAATCCAATTTTGCCTCAACTTAAAGGAGATGAGAAAATATCAAAGGGGATTCAAAACCACATGGAATGCTCTACCATTAGAATTCATGAACTACCCTTCAATTAATTACCTTAAGGAGAAGTTCTTTATCCTAAAGAGCTCACTAGCTTATTTGCACTAACTTCAAATTCCAGTAGTGAGTCCACTTGAACTGGAAACCTCCCACCTATGTAGACAAATGCTCTCCCTCCAATCTCTAGACCTACAAATAATGAGGAAGTCCAACACTAGCCATGATTACATAGCTCGCCTCTGTTTTCATGGTCATTATGAAATGGATGCCAATGGAGTATGATCTACTTAGAATCTAAAGCTTGTACTCAAATCTATAGCTCTCAAAGACATTCACCTTGGAGATGGCAAATTAGATGATGTACGAAGTTGTAACTACAACCTATAAAACCCACCATATGGTGAACCATCTGATCAAGATCTTACACTTAAACAACAATTTCATTGCCTCAGTTTGAGCAATCTACATAGTAAGTCACATGCACGTCTACATTAGGTTCGTAAATCTACTTAGAATAAAGGAAGTAGGAATGGACCTAGAACTCGCCTGGAAAGAAACTGCAAAGGTTTGGAAGAGGGCAAATTAGACTCCTCAGGGTTGGTTGCCACTCAACTCACAACTTAGGTCCTTGGTGTCGTTAAATTTCCTTAAACTTAATGCTATGTCTATCTTTACTTGAATATTCGAGGAGTAGGAACCTAGCTTTTCTACATAATATTCATGACCTTGTGGATAGATTTAGTCCTAACATACTCATTTTATCAAAAACCTGTGTTGATTAACATCTTGCAAAAGGGATTATAAACTAAATTGGAGTGGATTTTGATGGCAAGTACTAGGTGGAACCCATTTGTTATAGTGGTGACATATAGGTGTTATGAAGCAATGACTTTGTGCATATGTCTATTC